TTTATCCAGTTTATTCATAATATATTAACAATAATATCGAGACTAAATATGAAACAGGATAAAGAGTGCTTATTATTAATTTGCGACAAAAAGGTCTACATCTTATGTCCTTATTTAATCAAAAAGATTGTCTCTAGAACACCCATATACTAACACAACATTGGTTCTCAATTTTCTTAAATAAAGGACATGTATTTGCATATTAAATTTTTATATTAACATTACATTATATTTGGGAATGAATACTCTTATTTGTGATTTTATATAATCGGATTATATGAAATATTTTATATAATCGATAGACAAATATGTTGGAATCGGCACTATCACACCCACATAATTACTATCTAAAGGAAAAAAGGTGAAGAAAAGTGAGAAAATGATTTATTCTAGTGCATTCAATGTGGATAACGTTCAGCAATATGTATTATATTTTCTTAATTACAAGTCACTCAGTTTACAGGAATATAAATACGATTAGAAACCCTAAGTAACAATAATTATTCATGAATCCAAGTCCAAACTACTAAGAAAACAAAAAAATAATATAAGTCAGTTGCCTGCAATAGTTCCAAGCCTTTGCGGTCCTTGGGGTGGCTTCTCCATACCCTCGCTCGCTTACCTAGGAGTGGAACTCCATTGGCTTTCTCTGTGTCCCGTTAATAAAATCATCTGAATACAAAATATGAACCTTGTCCAACAAAATCATGGAGATAAAAAATATTAAAATTAAAAATATAACGTTGATTTATCTGCCAATAATTAACAACCTGTCATTGACTTGATCATGTAAAATACACATGAGAAGATTACTCCCTACATACGTAACATATAATCAAATGGAAAAAATAAGTTTCTTATTCCATGGATAATCGATGAAGTCGTGGAGTGGCGTGTCTCATTTGGATTTCTTTGGGCCAAGGTTAGTGGCTACAAATTTAGTGGAAACTTCACTGCTACGAGTTAATTTAATATTTATCTTTTTAAATGATATAATTATTTCACTCTTATAAATAGATAAAATTTATATTTTTATATTTTTTTATTCATTCTCTTTCTTTATTTATCTTTTTCTCTCGCTTAAAATAATAAACTTTATATTTTTTTAAATAATACACACTTTTCCTTTAAAATAACACTCGCTTCGCTAGAAAGTTATGCATGGGGTAGCGGGTTGCTTATCCCAATTCCCAATTCCCATGCAGCCTCACATAGGACAAAAGAGGTGAGGAAATACCTATAGTGGTCTCCCAAATTGATTTGGATATTATCTGATAGCCAAAGCCTTATTTGACACACATACTTGGTTTTTTCAGTGACAATTAATAGCTTGATGGAAGCAACAAAATCAGGTTTGGTCACAAAAAATGGCCCAAAATCTTGAGACATATCCAAAGTGTTAATTAGTAGCAATTATTGTCATTGACAAATTGTCATGTATGCATTCCATTTCTTCATGGCATATCTCTAGTTTTGTCTCTGGCAGTAAGCTGGGATGCTATGTCTCTGCAAAATAATTTTTTAATATTACTGTTGTACCAAAAATTCAGTACATCTTATCAATGAGAACATTATATGTCAGTCAAAATTTTCTTTATTATATCAAATTTTTTTTCTCTCCTCTGATGAGTAATGCTCTCATTAATAGAATACAATAAATCTAAATGTAAAATAGCTCCAAAAAATTATTCGTCTCTGCCTAGTATTTCTCACCTACCATAATTGGGTAAAGATAAAAATATGCATGGGTTGAATTTTACGTTGGCACCAATACAAAATCATTGGAAAAGAGTCAGTGAGAGAGTCATTGGGAAAAAAAAGTCATGAGTTGAATTTTAGGCTCAGTTTCTCTTTTCACCAACTTCTTGTGTCTGCATCTAATTGGAAGAAATTGTGTTTTCAATTCCTAAACTTTAATCTCCATTAATTAGTCAATAGTTTATTTTGGTTGCATTTACCAGGTAATTGATGTCTTCAAATTAAAAACTGTGGATAGAGACATACATCTCTAGGTTGAGGACAAATTGAAGTCCATTAAATATCATTATAAATATAAAAGTGGTTGGTTTAGCGGCGTCACAATAATATTTTAGGATTTGATATGTTAAAGAATAATAGGTTTGATTTTTGAGAATCACAACTCTTTAAGAGTCACTTAAACTAAAAATTGGATTAATCGAACTTGTGTGGAAAAAAAAATACTATTCAAGTAAATTAATAAAATGGGAAATAAATATTTTTCTTCAGTGACTTGTTATTGACCAGAATATTAGGTGCTTATTCCAACACCTTAATAGATGGATAAACAATATAACAACATGTGATAGACTAAAGAGATAAAGATAAACTCAAAGGATAAAGGATAAAACAACTTATCCTATTCTCCAGTAATCACAATTTTATCAGGACTCTACACTTATAAATATCCCTTTCTATAAATAAAGGGTCAAATTTTTTGGGTACACACTTTGAATTCTCTACTCTTTTGCCTATTACTATGCACATTGATTATATGTTTATTGTTAGTGTATAATAATATTGGCTATATATCATACGATATCTCTTTTATAGATATTTGTGAGCATATACATCTATCATTATGCCATTAACATTCACGGTTTACCCAGTCTAAACATGGCCAGATCAACTAAATAAATAGCTAGATTAAACAAAAGAAAAAATTATTCTCATATTACATTAAATAAGTTTTTCTTCTTATACATCCTTCGATAATTATATTATCTTTTTTTGTTTTTTGTTTTTAAATGATAAAATTCACAAATTTATTTCTATAACATGAGATAACGTATTTTTTTAAAATAAGATTAATAAAACCCTTAAATCAAAACATAGAACTTATATAGAAAGAATTAAAAAAGTTTAAAGGGTTTCTGCTTTTACATTTGTCCTTCTACAAAGTGTACACGTATATATGTACTAAAAAAAAGTATACACGTATGGGGTGGAGTTGTCCCCTTTCAAAAGGAGTGATCCCACAATCAATAAACATGATTTGGCGTTTTGTGTGACTTATTTTTTATTCTGAATAATCAGAGCCTTAAACTATTTAAAAAGCGTGTTACAACAATTTTTTTTTTTTTTTGATAATACAACAAATTTCTTTTGGGCACTCTTGGGATGAATCCAAGAATGGCCGTGGTTTGGAGAAAGTCTAAATTGCCCTCTAAAGTACCGTATTTTATAAAGGAAAAGTGTTTGTTATTTTAAAAGAGAGAAAGAGATAAATAAAAGAAGATAGAGAGTTGACAAAAAAAAATAAAGATATGAGTCCCACCTCTTTATTACAGTAAAATGATATAAATTGTGTCATTTAAAAAGATAAATATTTTTCCCTTTTAATAAACATAAGAATTGCCAGGGAATTGATCATCTTATCTTAAAATTTCTGTATCTATCTATTTTTTATTAATAATAGTTAGACTTGTTGGGAACTCGGTTCCCTCAAGCTCGGCTCAGGGCCATTGTGAAAGTCAGTCAATGAGATCCTGGATCTTGGATCTCGGCAATACCTCGGCCTGAACTTCACCAGGTCAGGCAGCGCAACAGAAAATCAAAACGAAAAACGGGAGAGAGAGAGAGAGAGAAGGAGAGAGAGAACACAAGCCATTTTTAACGTGTGAAAACCTTCTCCAATGAAGAAGTAAAAACCCACGGGACCTAGTCCAGATAAAAAATCCACTATGAAAATAATGGTTACAAATAATCAGAATCACTAATGTGGTGGTTAACTCAACCTCTCCAACAATGGTGATAATCAAACCTCCCTATAGATATTTCACTCTAACTCTCTCTAGAGATCTCTCAAATACAAAACATAAAGCTTTGCTCTTAAATCTCAAACAATTTTCTCTCAAATATCAAATCTCTCAATCTGACCTAGCCTCTACCCTCAACTAATGAATATATAGAGGAGGTAAAATTTAGAGTTTTTTAGGAAACCCCTCAATGGACTTAGGCTTAGCATTGAAGAAGGAAGCCCAACAAGACTCCACATATTTAATGCTATGTAAAAAGTGAAATAGTTACAAAAATTTTACATGACCAAATCATGTAAAATTTTAAAATGAAATGATCCACTCCACCTATATTTTTTTTTTTTAAATATTATTATTCTTCAACACTTTTGATTAATTTTTTAATTGTTACAACTTAAAAGTGAAAGCTATTAAAAGTAACTAGTAACACCCAATTTCCTTCTTTCAATATTTAGCAACTCTTTACAATCTCACGTGTTATTTAATATGACCAATGCATAATGATGAATCAATAGTGTTAATGGATGGGAGAGAAAAAAAATAGAAATAAAAAGTTATATAATCACCACTATTGATTTATTTATTAATAATTAAATAATCTATTTTCGTTAGTGATAAATAGAGCACTAGAGCATATCTGCATAATCAAACACTGTACCCCGTCCAAGTGGACCTTTGCGCCTATGTTTGGGCAAAACCTTTGGGCCTTTACACTGGATTAGGATAATTCTTAATGGTGTAATTTAGTTCATGGATGATAAAGTAAAAGGAAAATTAAATTATAAAACAGAAATTAACAACTCGAGTACCTTTGGCTTTCAATAACAAAACGGTTTGGGATTTGGGCTATTTGATTGTATTTAATACTTTTTGAATATATATTTTGTAAAATAATCTATAAGATCGGTATATTTTTATGGGAAAAATATTTATCTTTTAAATAAGGGATAGGATATTGTGACACACAAATAATGTTACGCACAATGTTACGACCACATCTTAACCGTTGATTTCTGCCAATCAACGGTTATTATTTTAAATAAAATAACGTCATTTTGATACATAATTAGTAAATTTTATATTCTTTTTCCTCCACTTTTTCTCTTTTTCTAATTTTATGAAAGAGAAAATGTAAAAAATTATCAATTATATAACAAAACGATGTCATTTTATCTAAAATGACACAAAATTATATTATTTGAAATTACAAACATTTTTCCCATTTGAAAGTACAAAATTGTATCTAAAATAACAGCAATATTGATCAAGTACAGGTCCCTCAGCAGTTCAACACACCTTAGAACTCTCTCATGCAAAATGAAAATCCAGTAACTCCAAGGTCAAAACAATTCAGGAAGGAAAGATGATATCAAACACCAATTATCAATTCAACAATGACAAAAGCAAAAGCAAATATGTTGTTGTGTGGGAACAACCACCTCACCTTGACACCTTCTCTACAATGAAGAAACCATTTATGGCCTTATCAGTCTCTTTTGCTTTCAATTCCCTTAAAACAGAAATTGCAACTGCTGCAGCAATTTGAGAAAGCCAAATTAACAACAACAATTCTTCAAACTTAATACACCACAAGAACAAAAGAGTAGAAAAAGACAAAATATATTCAAACGGAGTAATGAGAATACCTCTGATTATGCTAAGGATGAGCTGTGCTGATATTGAAATGGATGACTTTGCTGGATGCTTGCAGTTTCCAACTCAATGAGCTTAATATATACCAGTAGTTCCATTCTTTGAGACTTTGAGTGACTACGCTTCTCCATTTTAGCTGCAATAAACAAATGAGTAGAAATAAGCTAGTAAACACAATTTTTTCAAAAAATAAAATAAATAAAATTATCAACAAGTGGGAAAAAATGTCATGAACTGGAAATATAAGCCTATAGAGTCAACAAAGACAATAAGAATACGATAATTGGAAACCTTAAGGAAAATGAGAGTCAATAGCTTAAAAGGAAGCATGATTTAAGTAAAACTAGCACAAACCTGTGAATTATATTGAGAAAACACACAGCACATACATTAAAAAAATTTCGTTTCAAATGTTCCACAAAATTCCGAAGCACTAGCACATATTTTGTTCTGGCATGATTCATTGTGCTATATTTTGTTCCTAGCTCCCTGGGTTGGATTTTGGAGAGACAACATAAAACTTGAGGATATTTATAGGGGATTAGCAACTCAGCACTTCCTTCTCTCTCAAGTTATAGTTTTTTTTTTTTTTTTTTTTTTTTTCCATTCTAAGAGTTGTTTGGATGACCTTTTTCTCCTCCAAAAATTGTTTTTTCAGAAAAAAAAAAAACTTTTCACTACAAAGTTCGTTTGAACATATACTTAAAAAAAAAAAATAGAAATCACAAAAAAGACAAAAAAAAAAATTTAAATCTAAAAATTTTAGCTTAAAAAAAAATTAAAAATTAAAAGCCAAATATTTTCTTAAAAATTTAAATAGTTTAAGCTTTTATAAAAAGTATTTCTAAAATAAGCAAGCCTTAATATTTTTTTTATAAGCCTATCCAAACCAGCAGATATCAACAAGCTTTTTTTGCCTCTGCTTATTTCCTTTCACTTTCTAAACTGCATATTTTGCATTCCTTCATTAAAGTCATCCAACCAAACGTAACCTATAAATAAAAGAGATAGGATATTTTTATTATTAATTTTTTTAGTATAATTATGATTACCATTGGATTAAATGAAAAGTTGAATAAAGAGAGAGAAAAAAAAATAATTTTTGAATTCAATGATAATTAAAATAACCAGTCAATGGAGATAAGTTATTTTCGGGGAGCACAAACGACATTGTTTTGTGACGGAAATCAAAGTATTTTTGTAATTCTAATTTATTGCAGGGTTATATTAGTCTTTAACATTATAATTTTTTAATCTTACAACGCAAAACGACATCATTTTGGGCTCCCTAAAAAAATATTTTTCCCTTAAAATAATAGTGAAATGATAATAAAAAAATTGATAGTAAGAATACCCTACCTCTAATTATAAATATTCTAAAGCAACCAGAAAAGCTTTCAGATATCTTTATTGCTCCTAATTGCAATGGTGGTAGGGGATGTTATCAAGTAATTGCAAGTAGAATATTTTTAGAATTTTATCATTGTGGTTATTATTTTGTTTATAATATTCTTCTTAGCCACGAAGTAGTATTTGTTCCCCACCTTTACCTACAATGGACTTAGAATTTCAAACTTTTCATAGGAGAACCTTCTTATATATTAACACGTGCCAACCATAGATTGTGCCTTTGCGCCCATTTTTTCAACCATTTTATAAACTCAAATTTGTTGATCATGTGCGAATCTTATCAGAATTTGTTGCTGAGTTATTTCTAATTACATTGTATGTGCACATTGAGCTTGGATCCTGATTAACCTGATCTTCAAATTGAATATATCCACCCCTTATTACCCTCTGTTTTAATATAAAAAATAATAAAATTGTTAAAAAATATTTACTTTACAATTGTATGTGCCACGAAATAAAGTGGACTTTTTTTTTTTGATTAATTATGTTTCTAGTTTGGTTTCTTCTTCTTTTAGAAGACCTACAGAGTTGCAACTGTCAATTATAACAAATCAAAATTCTAGTTTGATTTTTATTTATTTATTTAAGCTGAACAAACACTCATTCTTTCTTTACGTTTTTCTTTTTTGTTATAATCTTTCTTTATGTTTTAATTCTTTTGATTTTGAACAAAGTTCGAAGCAGCTTTGTCCGTTATCAACTGAATACATGTTAATTTTAGAGGACAACCACGGAAAGTCGATTTCCACCATCGCTTAAGTGACATCATGTTAATTAAGGGCATTTCCTAGATAGATTAGGCACTCAAATTGCCACTCCTTCACCCTTTATGCCAAAATTTCTACCAAGATATATGCACAAGTTTTTGTCCTTTATGGTTCATAAATTTCACACGACTTTCCATTGGTAGCATTGACGTTATAGTAAATTTGTATTTGTAAGCTCAGTAGTAGGATACTTCATTTAATGTTGAATTGTCATATTTTAGACTTACTTTAAAAAAATTGATGTCCAAGTCCAACTCTATTCACAGATTTTTTTACGTTGGTATCCTTTCCTGATTTTTTTTTGATAAACTGTAACTGAAATTTTTATACTCATATTCGTGTACCACCATATTATTAAACAAAAAAAAGTTACCCCTTAAATAGTTCTAATCATAGTCAAAGTGTCAAACCCCTTCGATTGTGTAAAGAAAGACTTAACGGATATATATTTTTTTTCCATTGATGGTGAGCTTCTTAGGTATGATATTTAGCGGTTTGCTTTTAATCAAACATGAAGATGTCATGCTCAAGAATGGTGCATAATTTAGATTAGGCAATCGTTTTTTAGTTTTCTCATTATGCTCCATTTCAGGTCACAATAATATTAGTAAAGACTAAACAAAATCATCTCGAATAATTTCCTTCCTAATTCCTTTAAGCTTTTCAATCAAGGTGATATGACTTTCTTGTTTATATTAATGTAAGCAACAAAAAAAAAATCATAATAATACAGAATACCAGAATTGCAAAAGCGGTGAAGAAAGGGCATTTCTATTACTAATGGCTTACTTTCTACTACTTCAAACAGTATAGTGTTTGATTATTAGAAGATGTTAGTTGTTTCAAAAATTTCTCCGAAGGAGCCCAAAGCTCGCTTTGGATGATCAAGGTTTTCCCGTTACAATAAAAAATATGAGACAGGAGAGATTAAAGGAGAGGGAGGAAGAGCATTTTCTAGTTTGCTATTTCCCATTTGAATTGGCATGCTTATGGAAAGGCCAAAGGTTTACCAGACGCTCAAGTACACTTTTTGTGAAATAGCCAGAAAACCCTGCAGGTGTTGATGGTGGAGGAAAGTCTTCTGCAGGCATAGCAAATGGGCGAATCATCTTCTCCATAGTTTCTAATGTGAGATATGATCCCATATCTTGCAGCCTCTCTGGACCCATAATAGGTAGTGTGTGCTCCTGATGCAATGAAGTAGCCTCACCATTATTCTTCTGCCAACCATAAAACACAACATATTAGCTATTGAAAAACAAGTTCATCATGTAAAACCAGCATTTTCACTGATATTCCTTATATATGAAAAATTGCCAGTAGGAGAAATGTTATCATATCAATAAATGGCATTTGTGTGGAATGGGTACATAAAACTAAAGAAGAAGCTTTAAAGCAAATTGCTGTGTTTTTGTTGAGGATGACTCCTACTTTGCATCAAGACAACAACACATTTCCATGATGAAGATAAAGCCAATGGAAGACGCGCTCCCCCTTTCTTGTAGAGGCCTAGTTAGTAATGTTCTTTTGTTTAGTAAGAGTTTGGGCTCATGGATAATTGTTGCGGCTTAGGGTTTTCTAAGCTTATTTATATTCTCTTGTATTTGAGTGCATTATAATAAGTGCTGTGAGGAGAATACAGTGACAAACTTGTTTAAAGTAGCCCCACATTGGGGTGAACTAGGGGAAACCGTTAAACTGTTTCTCTTGCTTTTCTTCCTTCTTATTTTTCTATTTGTGATGGTATGTGTGTGATAGAAACGGTCCTAACAGTTTTCAGCAGCAAGTTTAAAGAAAAAAAATGATGCTATCAAATAATGCTTCACTTGTTTGAAGCTTCAAACAACGGGATTACCTCCAGTGGGGATAAATCGGCACCACGGCTGAAGGTCATCTCTATGCGGTACCTTCTCGGATCTTCTAAAGCCACCTGCCATTTTAGATTCAAAAGAAAGTTCAATAACTGCAAAAATAAATATATAAATTGCACATTACATAACTCAAAGACAACCGGTAATGATTGTCAAAATATGGTAAATGCTAACACTGAAAGGATTATAGTTAGTGCTATGCGCATGGTTAGCATGGAATGGAGTATTATGTTCTGTTCTAATCTCCTTGGTTCCACCCCTATTAGTGAAACTAAAATGTTCTACTTTTTAACTCCATATCCTATTCTGTTCTATTTTTAAAATGCACCAAACATAAAATAGAACTGATATATTCTGTTCTGTTCCGTTTTCCCACGTTTACCAAACGCTACCATAACTTTCAATTGGATAACTAAGTCCTATATGAACCATCATATACATAGTTCAGCGTTACACTTTAAAAGATGACATATGTATAAACTTTGCACTTCTTAGGATTAATTTACTAGTAGTAGAAATAAGGAACTGCAATAACTTAACCATTTCACATAAGCCGAGCACTTAGGAGGAATATGGTAACAGACTAGTAATTATACAGGTAAATGGCCAAAATGACCCACCTCTGTGTTCTCAAACATCCTCAGCACAATGTAGCTCATATAGTCAAGCTCCTTTGTTTTAGATAGTCGCTCTAGAGCATTGAGGCATACAAGACTCTCCTCTCCTAGAAGAGATTCATCCAAATTACAATAACGAAGAACATTCATAAGAGAATGGATATGTGATTCCTGTCAACAAAATAAGGCAAGCGAAAGAGAGTATGAAAATCAAATTAACAGAGCAATTCTATGCAACGAAAAAATATCAGCCTGTCTGAATGCATCTATTAATGCATTTGCACTTAAGATTTCAATATAATTTGATTAGTTAAAATCAGTTCTTTCATATGAGCTTTTGTTAATTTTGTTCTGGATAATATAAAATATAATGAATCGATACGATATGAACCATATATCTACAATCAAATGGATTCATACTACTGGGGCTTCATATAAAACAAAAAACTATGCTTAATTTAAGGGTAAGAATATCAAAGGAAGAATTTCAGAACAAAGTCTAGAAAAACATTTGGCAAATTTTGTGCATCAATTGCCAACATATAATAAAGGGAGTAGAATATAAGTGAAATTACACTAATGCAAGTGTCAAACACCAAGTTTCTTAAAAGTTTAAGCTATTAGGTGATAGCCCAAAAACGATTTTATATATTTAATACACCTCAGGTAAGAATTCTTTAGGCTTGAAACAAAGACTATGTAGAGGCCCGCTACACATTGTGTTGAAAACTTGAAATTTCAATTTAATTATGAAGATTGGGGCAAGGATTGATCACTTGGTCATTAGAGGCTTTTAATACCATGTTAGGATCAATTCTACTAATTAAAGCTTAAACTGTTTGTTGTAAATAATTGTATTGTAATTATTTATTTTTATTTATTTTTCATTCTAGAATCTTCTTTGGGCTTAGCCCATTAAGTCATTCTCTATAAATAAAGAGCTCTTATACATTTGTAATATACAATTTTCACATAATACAATCTTACTTTTCAAGTTCTTTTTTTGCAAGTTGGTATCAGAGCTTGTATAAATCTCATCCACTATAATCAGTTCAACATTAAGAGTGATAACTGAGCAGCCTTTTCATCTAAAGAAAATTGCACGTGAAGATTTATTTTTGGGGTTTGCATAGGAAGTGAATATGAACCAAGGCTAGCATATTTACATCAGCAAGTTCTACTTATATCACGTGATCGATTGGTATAAAACAATACAAATTCTGTTTTTTCTCAAAAGCAAAATGAAAAAGATCTCAAACGTTATCACTCTAGTCCCCACCCATATGACAAAACACAATTAAGAAATTACAAAGGAATTCTTGGTAAAACTAAAAGTAGCATTTAACCAGTCAACTAGTTATCAATGTTCAAATGAGTCCACAATTACTGATTCATGTAACCTATTAAGTGGTTAACTATTCCTAAATTGGATATATTTGTATAAAAAATTCCTTTATTGTCGTTTTCTAAATTTTTTTTACCTGAGTTAAAATCACTCACAGAGAAGGGGCAGGCGAGAGAACTATATAATCCACACAAGTTTATAACACATTACAGCACTCACCGATGTGAAGTATAAGCGTGTTCGCACATGGCGTTCAGGTGTCTTCACATTTGCATACCTGGTGGAAAATAAAAATATTAGAATAGATCATAATAATGTACAAAATAAGAAAACTATATGATAACCTGATATTTACTTTGGATCTAAACGATATTTGGTCTCTTTATCATCGTCATCATCTTGATCCATTGATATATCATTTAAAGTGTTCGATTTCCGTATTTCATCATTCTTATGGAAAAATTTTGAATTGGCCTCTGCATCTTCCTTTTCAATTTTCGTGGATAATGAATGATGGTCTTGGTTATTCTTTAACTCGACAACACTAATGGCTTCTTCTCGAGTGTTCCTCAGATCAATTAAAAGTTTTCCCAATAACCGACGGGCTATCTGGATTGAAAAAGTAGAAACAAATTAATCAGGTGGCTATAGTTTTAAGTACATATGTAGAAACAGTGCATTTAATTTGAGTACTATATCATTAACTGTTCTTCAAGTAATATCAACTACATGAAACAGAAGACATAGTTATATAAGGTCCTTAACATAGCATACAATTTAAGACCTCATTTCATAAGGTGTTTGTCTCTTACTTCTGTTTGGGGTTAGAGGTTGGTAACGTTTTAATCATCATAAAAATCATAAACATGAGGCTATAATATAACTTAAGAAATTCATGGAGCTATTAATCTTATAATCAGGCGTGGCAACATGGTATGGTTATGATCCTCATACAAGAAGATGTTGAACCTTTAATCAAGCATTTCTCTAATTACCAGAGGTAGTTAAAAACAGATTCCTTTGTTTATTATATCCCAGACATTTAATCTTGCTTTTTCTCTTTGTATAATATATTTCAAAGATTCAAATTAACTCAATTCCTCAAGATTTATGAAACATTGACTTCTTCCTTTTCTTACTCAAAAAGGAAAGCACATAACACAATGCAACAGAACACACTTCATGTTGCTAAAAACACAGGCATGACCCTAATAATCTGATTCTAAAATTCGTAGTGAAACAAACTGTAATGCATCACAAAGAATATCAATAATAACATATAAAGTGAATGTCTGATTTTCAGGGAATGAGAGAGATCTCTGAAGGTGTCTCATTTGCAATTTGCATCTGGAGGATGCTTGATGTTTTTAGAAAATGTTGTCATTGTTGAAGGTTTTTAAGTTTGTTTCAAACTTTCTGGTATTCACATCAATTTGGATAAGAGTGATTAGAACGTATCAACGTTGATGATATGGTTTTGACTTCCTTGGCTTGTGTAGCTGGTTGTAGGATTTTGCACTTAGGGGTGTGCATTGAGCGGTTCGGTTTGGTTTTTAACAAAAACCAAACTGAACCGATTTTAAACGGTTTGGTTTTCAAACTGAACCATTTTTTTTTTTAAACTGGTTTTTGATTATTCCAAACCGGTTTATCGTTTATAACTGAATATTTGGGATTGAGGCAGCACACTATATGACTCGTACGAGCTCAACTCCTTCGAACGCCAAATAGACTCAACGATAGCAAACTCGCCCAAAACACTTTCCATGCCTCATTTACCTGAACGTCATCTTTCACTTCAACCTCAGCCACCATCCTCCAACAAGTCTTTCAAGTTCTCTCACCCCTTCCAAAAACTCCTTTGCTTTCTTTTCAAATCTAGCAATAAATTTAGGATTTTTAGAAGTTGTAGTAGCCGTGGTAATAGTTTCCAAGTGGCAGGGAAATATTCCAAAGACCGTTTCAATGTGGTTTATGATTTGGGTATTTTGATTTCAAAGAAAAAGAAAATTGGTTTGGATAACTGTGTATATCCGTTTCGTAAAAGAGTGGATAACCGAATTGCTTTATAAAGGAAGAAGTGGTTTTTTGTTTAAAACCGGTTTTTAAAAAAATTGAATTTTCAAGTATGGATCGGTTTGGATCCAGTTCAGTTTGGATAATTTGAATATTTTGAACATCCCTATTTGCAGTGGCTTAAGAATACGGAATAAAATATTATGCAGAAGGGAAGAATAAGATAGCTGTTTCAAGATTTGTAACGTTAAATGAAATTTGGGAGTCTCCTTACAACAGGAGTTTACCTTCGAGCCAATCTTCAGCTTCTGCTTTGGATTGATTCCGTATTCATTTGGGATTACACCATCAGCAAGCAACTGCAAATAAATTGGCAGAGCAATTAGAAAAGCAAAGAGATTGGATTCATGAGTCACGGTTGATAAATAAAACAGAGGAAAGTAGTACAGTTAGGGGTTTTATTTCTGTAGGGAATACTTCTAGTTATGGCTTTTAGTTATTTAAAATATACAGTTACTTTCAAAAAGGTAAACCCCAAAACACTAATGAGAATTTGCTTGAGATAGGTTTACCGTGATTAGTGTTCACACTAGGCAGTTATAAAAGTAATTTTCTTTCAAGAAAGGATACAAGTACAGTACACAGGAGAAAGTTGTACGCTCCAAATAGAAGATGTAATCTGTGATCAGCAAAACTCAAAATGGGAGCACTTTATTTTATGTAAGAATATGAGTAACGCTACACAGCATTAAACATATAAGTCATAACCAAATCATGTGGCAACATCACCAGCAAGGAATCACGAACAAGTATATTTTACAAGTAAATCAAGTGGATTGAAAAGTTGCCTTGTTAATCTGTTCTTCTATTAGTTTAATTATTTTCAGTTGGGCAGCATTTTCCCTAACATACTTCTACATACCTGAGCAACTTTGAAAAGCTCATCCAGTCCTTCTAGATTAAGATGTGCATTGTGCAAGAGATCATATCTGTAATAAGTCAACATTAACTTATCATCAGACAAGAATGAAAAATACATAATTTAAATGAAACCTCAATATTTTCTTCAAACTCATACAAATGCAGATTAGTTTAACTTCTTCAGATATCTAATACTGATTAACAGATGCTTGAAATATAAGAGTTTAATGTATTTGTTAGAAATAATATTGTATTAAATAGTATTGTATTTTTATTATTCTGTTATTCTAGCAGGTTATTTGGGCTTGGCTCATTAGGTCTTTTAACCTCTTTAAATAAAAAACTTTTGTACAGTTCTATATTCAATTGAATAGAATACATTCATACATTTTAATTTGGTATCAGAGTACTTTGTTCTGGGAATTTTCGCTTCCGCTAAAACCCTAAGCCAACTGCTTTGGCGTTCTCTCCTTCCACTATGCCGAGCGTCCCTCCGGCTTGTTTCTACACTGTTCATCGCGTCCGTACAGTCACTGTTCACTGTCATTCCGTACAGGCACTATTCATCGCGTCTGTACAGGCACTATTCACGTTGTCCGCACAGTCACTGTTCACGCGTCCATACTGTCACTGTTCACGCGTCTTTTTCTGGCCATTCCAAGATAGAACAGCTTGCCTTCCTCTCCTCTTTCTAGATCTGGTCTCCGTTCGTTGTGGGTCCCATCCGTTAAGAAGATATCAGCGAAAAACACGCTGGTTGGACATCTTTTTTAATTATTTTTGCGCGATTTCTCGTGAGTTTGCTGTTTCTTGCTTTTATCTAGTCATCTCTTTTAATTTTTGTGATGGAAGGCTCAGGTAATACGTCCAAAAACACTACTGGCGTCATCTCCAGTAATACCCATCCATTACAACGATGAAACTGACCGGATTTGCTACTTACAAGACCTGGTCTACCTCAGTTAAGATCTGGTTTACTGGTCAGAGATAGGAAAAATATCTCACAACTAAGTCTGCTGGTATTTCAAAGGATCAGACATCTGAATGGGAAAAGGTTGACGCTCAACTGCTAAGTATCCTTTGGCAGTCCATTGATCCGAATATTATAGACATTTTCATCCCTTTTGAGACCTGCTATGACGTATGGGAGGAAGCTAAAAACCTCTACACCAATGACATTCAGTAGCTTTATTCCATTGTTTCTCAGATAATGGAATTGCGCAAATCACCAAAATCTCGAATGGAGACTTATATTGGTAAGATTCGTTCTTTGATGCAAGAATTCTTAGCTATGATACCTCATACTGTAGATGCCTCTGCATACAAGAAGCAGGTGGAGCGCTTCTTTACGGTCGTGACCCTCTCCGGTCTTTCAGAAGAGTTAGAGAGTGTTCGTGAGAATATTCTAACCAGTACTGAGACTCCTAGCCTGTCACACACTTTCCAGCGCCTTCTGAATCTTAAGGATAAATCAACAGCTCCCACACATGTGCCAGCTACCGATTCCACTGCATTCTTTTCTCGTGTTAATGATTCTAATTGGAATAATGGACGCGGTCGTGGACAGGGTGGACGCAGACAGAGGCCTCGTTGCAATTATTGCCCGAATCTTACACATTTTGAAGAACGCTGCTATAGGAAGTACCCTCATTTGAAGCCATTGACTGCCAACTTTGCTCAGACTGATGCTACGCCACCTTCTACTGGATCAATAACTCTTTCAAGTGCGGACTATGAGGCACTTCTCAAGTAGGTTTCTTCTCAGCATCCTGCTCAAGACACTGGTAATCATGTTGCTTGTCTTTCTCAATCATCTCTTGGACCCTGGATAATAGACTCAGGTGCTACTCATCACCTTTTTGGTAATAAGGATCTCTTCACTTCACTTTCTTATTCTAAAAACCTACCCTCTGTCACTCTTACTGATGGCACTAAGGCTCTTGCTCGTGGAATTGGGGAAGCCAACCAACTCCCTTTTTAACTTTGAACTCTGTTTATTATATACCTGGCATTCCCTTTAATTTAATCTCTGTTAGCCAGTTGATTCATTCTCTTTCATGTACTGTTACCTTCTCTAAAGAATCTTTCTCTATGCAGGATCCGGGTACGGGGAAGACAATTGGAGGGGGTATTGAGTCACGAGGCCTCTACTATCTGATTGCACCACCTTCTCCAGTAGCGTGTTCTCTGATAGAGTCTCCTGAGCTTATTCACAGCCGTCTAGGTCATCCAAGTCTCTCCAAGCTTCAGCATATGGTTCCTTTTTTATCCAATTTTAAGTCTTTAAGCTGTCAGTCGTGTAAACAAGGAAAGCACACCCACTCCTCCTTTGCTAATAGAGTCAATAAAAGAGCCGATGCTCCCTTTTCTATTGTCCATTCTGATATTTGGGGTCCGAATCGAACAATGTCTGTTTTGGGTTTTCAGTATTTTGTAACCTTTATTGATGATTTCTCTCGTTGTACTTGGGTTTATTTAATGAAAAATCGTTCTGAATTATTTTCAATTTATCAAAAAATTTGTGCCGAGATAAATACTCAATTTGGTGCTTCTATTCAAATCTTGCACAGTGATAATGCAAAAGAGTGTGTGTCTCTTGAATTTTTTAAATTTTTGGAGAAACGTGGGACATTACACCAGACCACTTGTCCACACACTCCATAACAAAATGGAGTGGCCGAACATAAAAATAGACATATGGTTGAAACTGCACATACCCTACTAATTCATATGAATGTTCCGCTTCATTTTTGGGCAGATGCTATAATCACCTCTTGCTTTCTCATCAATCGCATGCCCTCTTCCGTGCTCAATAATGAAGTTCCACATAGTGTATTATTTCCAGAAGCACGTTCCTATCCTCTACCTCCACATGTATTTGGATGTACCTGCTTTGTTAATGATCTTACCCCGGGAAAATATAAATTAAAATCCAAAGCCTTCAAGTGTAATTTCCTTGGATATACTCGTTTTCAAAAGGGGTATCATTGCTATTCTCCTGATCTCAAGCGTTATATTGTTTTGTCTGATGTTACTTTCCTTGATCAACAACCTTTTTATTCTATCCTGTCTCAGATAACACAGGTTGATCAGGTTCTTCCTGTTCTTTGCCTTGACTTGTCTTTACTAGTTGCAAGTGACTTTATCCCAGAGGAGTGGCCCCTTGCCTCCATCCCTGAGGACTGTCCTTTTCTCACCTATCAGCGTCGTCAGACTATGTTTCCAGCGGATTTGACCTTTACTGACTCATCGCTTTCTCCTGTCGACTCTTTCCCTCCGGATCCCCCATTAGAGATTACTCCTATTGCCCTTCGCAAAGGTATTCGATCCACTCACAACCCTCATCCACTTTACAGTTTCTTGACTTATGATAGACTTTTTTCACCGCATTTTAATTTTGTTTCTAGTTTTTCGTCTGTTTCTATTCCTAAAATCATAGGTGAAGCACTAACTCATCCAGGTTGGCGCCAGGCGATGATTGATAAAATGCAAGCACTTCACTCCAATGGCACATGGGATCTTGTTCGTGCTCCTCCCCGAAAGTCAGTTATCAGTCGTCGATGGATATTCACAGTCAAAGTTAGTCTTGATGGCATTATTGATCGCCTTAAAGCTTGTTTAGTGGCCAAGGGATACACTCAAATATTTGGTCTTTGACTATGGGGATATTTTTTCTCCTGTTGCCAAGATGGCCTCTGTTCGTCTGTTTCTTGCACTTCTGCCATTCATCAATGGCCCCTTCTACAGCTTGTTATTAAAAATGTCTTCTTACATGGTGACTTGCAAGAGGAATTATATATGGAGCAACCACCAGATTTTGTTGCTCAGGGGGGAGAATTCTGGAATGGTATCTAAGCAGTCCCTCGGGCCTGGTTTAGTCGTTTTAGTTCTGCTGTTCAATCCTTTGGCTTAATCAAAAGTAAAGCCGATCATTCTATCTTCTATAGGTATAGCTCTTCTAGCCAGTGCATCTATCTCCTGGTCTAATATTGATGACATCATTATTACTGGCAACGATCAAAATGAGATTGATCAGTTAAAGAAATACTTTTTCAATCAGTTTCAGACCAAAGATCTTGGGGATCGAAGTGGCACAGTCTAGGCAGGACATTTCCATTTGTCAGAGGAAGTATGCACTGGATATCCTAGATAAGACTGGTATGTTGGGATGTAAACCTATTGATACACCTATGGATCCTAATGTTAAGCTGTTACCCGGACAGGGGGAGCCATTGTCAGACCCTGGTCTTTATTTTGGAAAGTTGAACTATCTTACTGTGACAAGACCAGACATCTCTTTTGCAGTTAGTGTGGCAAGTCAATTCCTTGACTCTCCTTATGACTCCCATTGGGATGCAGTTATCAGGATTCTTCGATACATCAAAAGAGCACAAGGAAGAGGTTTATTATACACAAATAAAGGGAATGCAAAGGTGTCTAGCTATTCAGATGTTGACTGGGCAGGTTCTCCTTCAGACAGACGATCCACCTCGGGGTATTGTGTTCTCCTTGGAGGAAACTTGATCTCTTGGAAGAGTAAGAAGCAAACTGTGGTTGCCAGGTCAAGTGCAGAGGCAGAATATCGGCCAATGGGAAATGCAACCTGTGAGCTCATCTGGCTAAAACAATTGCTTAAGGAACTACATCTCTGTGAACAGCAGCCCATGAATCTCATCTGTGCCAATCAAGCAGCATTGCATATATCCTCTAACCCAGTCTTTCATGAGAGGACCAAACATATAGAAATTGACTATCACTTTGTTAGAGAGAAGATTCAGTCAGGAGAGATCGAGACAACATTTGTCAATTTTAGTGATCAACTTGCAGATATTTTTACCCAGGCTCTTAGAGGTCCCCGGATAGATCATATATGTAACAAGCTGGGAGCTTATGATATATACACACTAGCTTGAGGGGGAGTGTTATAAATAATATTGTATTAAATAGTATTGCATTTTTATTATTCTGATATTCTAGCAGGTTATTTGGGCTTGGCCCATTAGGTCTTTTAACTTCTTTAAATAGAGGATTTTTGTACAGTTCTATATACAATTGAATACAATACATT